AGGGAGCCCGATGTGGGACTCGATCCTGGGACCCCAGGATCATGACCTGAGCCGAAGGCAGTCGCTTAACCAACTGAGCCACCCAGGCGCCCCTGATATTCCTACTTCTTATTCCTACTTCTGTGCTTTAACAGCCCACTCACTGTCTTCCTTCCTCTCCGACTCTCACCAGTTACCTCTCTGTTCCCAAACCTATCTGCTGTGGTCAACAGTATTCACCATCTTTTTATTTCCCAAGCCAACTACCACAATTTCCTTTGTCTCCTACAATCATTGATTAAGTTCACTGGCTTTCCCCAAGCTTCCTCCTCACGCACACACACCCCTTTCCCACCTCCCATAGGTCCCATGATGATTAATCTGCTTTTCTTTTCCTCCTTACAAACCTGAAGGCCAAGAAGGTCATATACCTAATCTGTCACTCGAATGCCCCAACCTAACAATGAACTAGAAATTTACTCCACACTAGCCTCAGGACTTCCCACTAGTCTCCCTGTTACACTGTCTAATGAGTTACAAACTATCCTTGTTTGAACCTTCCTGTCCAGCCTCTACTTACTGTAGTCTATCTATACTGATTCATAACCTTATACCCTTTAAATCTCAGCTTGTTATTTCAGGGCACTTTCCCTACGTAAAACTATGTAAATATAAAACCCCAAATGACAGATTTAATTCAAACTGGTCAATCTGTTTAAAAATATCAAGATGGTTGTCTGAGAGCATATACCAATTACCTGAGGTAACCATTAAATTAGTTTACCTCCAGGTAGACACACCTAAATTAACACACAATCTTTACCCCCAATACTACCCATCTTAAACCCTTAACCTGTGTGTGTATATATACAAAAAACAACACAGGTACCACCTAGGGAAATATTCAAATATTCACTGCTTTTGCCTGTTCTTTCTGCTTTCTGTTTTCTTGCTCTTAGAAGACAGCATATTCCAAGTAAGTAAAAAGGAAGAAAAACCTAAAGAACATTTCAAAGTCTGTTCAGGGAGTGATCCAGAAGATTCTTACCCTCTGTAATGGGTCTTCTAGAAGCTGGATGGCACTGCTGATAGCTTCCTGTGGCACATATGAGGACTCTCCATTGCCCTGAATCTCCAGCACTGCCATCTGCAGTGAGGGGGAACAGAAAAGACCAGCAGAAACTTCAGAACTTCAGTGCTCCAGAATCACGCCCTCAAGACCTTACTTGTCCTCCCTCCATTTCCCCCTTCCATCTTCTAACTTGACCCCTTTCCAACACCACTGCTTGTGGTTTCCTCACCTCCAGTGCACACATGCCAAAGGAGTAGATGTCCACTGCTGTTGTCACATTAGTGACTTCTAGGGAAAACAGAGAAGCCTTTGGTGAATCAGAGGATGGGGGTAAGGGGTTGCAGAAATGCCTTTTAAAAACTTTTTGTAAGCCAGCAGAGAACTAGAAGTTTCAGTTCTGTTATCTCTGGGCCTCGGGTTATAAGGTGGAAACCTGGAGAACAGGGAGAGGGCAGAGAAATTGGTGCCTCACCTCCATACTCTGGTGCAAAGAAGTGTAGATTCTTCTGCTCTTCCCGACAAGTCTTCACATGATTGTTGATAGTGTCAGGAGCCACTGGGAGTAGGGGAGATACCCACAATCTGACCACCATCAACAAAGCATAGTCTCACTCCAGAGAGAGGTCCCCAAAAGCCAAATTCTCTCCTGATGACTCTAACCCTCAAGGCGCAAACCTGTTCTTTTCCCATCTTGAACCACAGACTAAACATGAACACCACCTACTTCCCCTTTCTTGGGTCAACTGCTTCTCATTTAAGGTCCCTAATTCAGCAGCAACAAACACTCCACACTAAACTAATAGGTATATAGGGACCTTGGGCTGGCCAAGAAGCAATGGAGGCTAAGGAAAAACTTTTGCTTGTGATCTGCTCACCTTCCCCAAAGCTCAGGAGTATCTAATCCCTGTCACATGAAAACGTATGGTCTAGTTCTTTCAGCTACCCTGCAAATAGCATAAAAACACAGGCAGCCCTTTCTAATCTGGGACAATTAAAGATCTCAGAAACTTGGATAAAAAAGGTAAGAAGGATTAACAGTACAACCAACTAGATACCCTCCTTCTTACCCACCTTTGCTGACTAAAACTCAAAAACAGCTCAAAGTTGAACCAATACCCTTGAACCAGTCTCATGTTTAATCCACCAAAATTTTAGACTCCTGCTCTACTCCCTTATTCCTCAACATTGCTGCCACAGGCCTTAACGAGGAACCAGGGCCGGGCCCAATTTGGACTCACTCAGATCGTAAACAATGACAACAAATCACAGAGAGTCTGGGAGCACAGTATGATTTAGGGAACCAGCCTGATGATGAAGGGAAATAAGAATCCAGGACATAAATGGCCAGCCAGGCAGAATCCACAGGAAACAAGCAAGTTATGGAAGAGCAAGCAGGTGGAGGGCTGGTAGGGAGAAGCCAAGCAGGCATAACTAGGCAGGGGAGGTAGGGGAACAGGGCTTGCTCCCACGACTGCATGCACTGGGCAGCCGCAAAGGGGAGCAGATGGAGCACAAACAGAGCCCCACATTGGGGCAATAGGGAGCTCTCACCATTAGCAAAAATCCTATGAAAGACTGTTGGGAACAGAGCAGCCCGTAAGCGGGAGGGAGGAAAACAGAGAAAAGTTGTGAGCAATGGAGCAGCCAAGCCCCAGACAAATGGACACACAAATCACACAAAGACACAGCACACAGAAATGTTATATACAGCACACAGATACACGGCAAATGAAAGCACTCACAGCAGGCACAACCTGGAACCTCCTTTGGTAGGGTCTGGCCCCAGGGGCTCAAGTCAGACCTTAGACCCATCTCTTGCCCTTTTCCAACCTCCTATCAAGATCTTTGGATTAATCCACTTCCCTCCAAAAAAGGTGTAAGATCAATCCTACCCCCTAATTACCCCTAGCAAAGTCCTATCTCTTACCACCAGCCCACACCTCAGAAGTTTGCTCTACTCTCCCCACTCCTTTCACCTTACCCCCATGGTTCCCAAATTCCCGAGGCTCCCCTGCCCAGAACCTCTCCCTCCCCTCACCAGAGCCAATCTTGATGAGTCCGTTGTGCTGGATGAAGATGGTGTCACAGGTCAGGTTCCCATGGATGATGGGGGGGTCACAGGAGTGCAGGTAGCTGTGGGGGCACTGGGCTGTTAGAGGGGCCACTGGGAAATTAAGGGCAGGGGGAACCCAAGGGTTAAGAGGAGCAAGGCCCTGGTCTCTTGCTGGTCACCACAAAGATAATCCCCACACTCTGAATCTCCATTATGCCTCATGAGTTAAATAGCTGGATAAGCACTAGGAGAAAGAGGTGGGAGACAGCATCGTGGTTATGGCATTAGGATGGACCCTTTAAAAGATAATAGGGGCCTAATCTTGACAGTATAGGACAGTATAGAGTAGTGCCCTAAAATCTGTTTGGAGGAACTAAACCAGGAAATAGGGGAAAAACACTAACCAGATCCTACTTACCTAAGGGCAGAGAGGATTTGCGTGCACCAGCGCTTCCAAGCCTGGAACAGTTTGATCAAAGGGTCAGCAGTAATCCCCTCTCTTAACCCTCCAACTAGTTCTCCTCCATCCCTTCCCGATTAGCTTCATGATTAATATAATCTTTTTAAAACCCCCAAACCAGCCTAAAGCTTTGTCTGCTCTCCCTCCATACCTTTTCATTCATAGTCTTGTGGTTCTTTTTGGTCTTCTTCAGAAACTGCTTAAGACTCCCAGATGACATGTATTCTGTGATAAAAATGACCTGGAGAGGCAAAGCACTCAAATAAGGCCTTAGAGTAGAAATGATCCCCTACCTGATGACATGTATACCAGATATATATTAGATTTGGAAGTCTGGTGGTGGTTTTTTAAGTTTCCCTTTTGTTGTTAGCACTACTTCCTTAGATTTAATAGGACGAAAAAAACTACTGAACAACAAGAGCTATGGGAAGTAGGGATGCCTGGGTGATTCAGTCCGTTAAGCGTCTGCCTTTGGCTCAGGTCATGATCCCAGGGTCCTGGGATGGAGTCCTGCGTCGGGGGGGGGGGTCCTTGCTCAGCGGGGAGCCTGCTTTTCCCTCTGCCTGCCGCTCCCCCTGCTTGTGTGCTGACAAGTAAATAAAATCTTTAAAAAAAAGAAAAGAGCTATGGGAAGGAAACAAAAGTTTGCTCATTTCTGCCCCAACCATCACCAGACAAAAGGCATAGGACATAGACAAAGCCCTACTCTCATCTTCACAACAGCTGATTTCAGTTTTGTTTCAAAACTACCTTATTTTCATCTCTAAATGTAAAAAGAACAATAAATGTAGCTAGTCTCTTTGTGGTAAACTCAAGAAAAAGTTCTTACCCTGGCCTTGTTCTCTTTAATGTCAGCCCAATACTTGTGAAACTTAACAATGTTGAGATGTTCCAACTGAATCAGATTATCAAACACAGCACGGACTTTTTCCTGAGAGCAGGGGAGAGAGTGGATAACAGGGTTCAGAAATCACTATAATCCTGAAAAGCCATTCCTTATCCCTCCCCAGAAATGATCTAATCCCGACATACTCTCCTCCTACTCAGCTTCTCAACACCAATTCCTCTTTAACACCTGCATTCTTTTTTTTTTTTTACTTAAGTTCAATTAATTAACATATAATGTATTATTTAAGGCGTACAGGTCTGTGATTCATCAGTCTTATATAACAATCAGTCTTATATAGCACTCACCACAACACATACCCTCCCCAATGTCCATCATCCAGCCACCCCATCCTCCCACCCCTTCCCCTCCAGCAACCCTCAGTTTGTTTCCTAAGATTAAGAGTCTCTTATGGTTTGTCTCCCTCTGTGGTTGCATCTTGTTTCATAACACCTGCATTCTAACACCCCACAGGCTACATCCTTTCACCATTACCTACCTCCTGCAGCTTGTAGTTCTTGCGTTCAGAGAACTGGACCTCATTCCACACAACCTCTACACCCTCCTCTGTATCCATGGCCAGGTATGCACTGTCAATACCTGGTACATTCCGTTGATTCACCTGAGAAGAAATTCAAATGGAAAGGAATTATTAAAGTTGCCTTATAAACCCTCCATTTTAATACTCTACATGATCATCCTCTCCTAGGCTCTGATCTGTTAAAGTTTGGTCTGCCCCTTTGAGACTTTCCCCTTCCACTTTGCACTTAGAATTCACTCCCCCAAGAGTGACACTACAACCACCTTACCTCTTCTCGTCTCTTCTGCCACCGCCCACATGGTGACTCTTCCAAGATCTCAGACTCATCTTCACTTTCTTCTTCTTCCTCTGGGGAAGCAGCTGAGGTCGTGGAGGTCACGGGAGGTGACACTGACGTCAGGCCAGGAGCTGAGGATGAAGATTCTACCTTTGGGTCTGAGCCACTGCTGACTACTGTCTGGGACTCCCCCTCCGACATGCTGGAACAAACACTCAGGCCTGCATTGGTTGGGGCAAGGATGGAGGGAGAAGGCAGAAAGGGTCAGGATAGATCCATAAAGATTTAATTCTGGGGCACCTGGGTGAGTTCAAGCCCCACGTTGGGCTTCATGCTTAATCCTAATAACCTCATCTGGGGTTAAAAAGAAAACAAAACATATACCTCCCTTATTTCCTTTAAATCCAAAATCAAATTAACCCTGTCTGAACACAGAAACATTAACTACTCTCTTATCTAGAGAAGGTAACTTATCTTGGTTGAAGATGACCGACCAGGAGTGGCAAACCTAAGATTTATGACAATACAACCCCCATTAGTAAGGTCCAAATGAACGACCAAATCAGGGACAGACACCACTCCTTCTCAGCAATATTCACCCAACAGCCTTCCCTTTGAATCCTCACCTGCCTCTATTTACACTGTGCTCAAGAACTAAGCTACATGGGCCCTGTTCAGAACAGATGACCCCAGACCCCAAAATGTCCAACTGATTCAGCCCTAAGGCTGGAATTGTAGTATTCTCAGCGAATTTATCCAGCTGAAACCCTCAGCTAATTTATTCCATTAGAATTCTGGTATTTGCTATCTGTCCCTCCTATACACAGATCAAGTCTGCCAGTCGATGCTGAGGCTACCCTTGGCCCAGGTGACTGGCAGTGGTTAGTGACTTCATCCCTGATGATCTCACCTTCCCTGTGATGTGAGTGTGCAAATGGGTATTGGTTAGCAACATTTTTTTTCATTCACTCATTCAACACATGTTTATTAAGCACTTACTGTAAGCTAAGCACTGGGCTAGGTACTTGAGATACACTAGTGAATAAAATAAATGAGATGCCCACATTCATGGAACCACAAATTTAATCTGATATAGAACTTCCAGCTTCCAGCTTTCATTTCATTCACATGGCTCAAAGCACCACCCTCTGGGATACTAGATCTGACAGAGATATTCCCTCAAGAACAAATAACTCAAGGGGCACCAGGGTAGGTCAGTCGGTTAAGCATCTGTCTTGGCTCAGGTCATGGGTCCTGGGATCAAACCCAGAGTCTGGCTCCCTGCTCACCGGGGAGTCTGCTTCCCCCTCTGCCCCACCCCCCATGCGGGTGGGCTCTCCCTCTCTCAAATGGATAAAATCTTAAAAAGAAAAACTTTTTAAGAAAAGAACAAATAACTCAAGATATCGCAGTTACAGGAAAAAGTACTATATAGTATAATATATTTTTCAAGATACATGGCTACTTGGAAGAAAAAGAATTCTCAAAAGCTAAATGTCACTAACTTGTCCAGACAGTCACAGGACAACCGCTGAATGTTATTCCAAATCTCTAAGAATGGCTGTGAAGGAGTTGAAACCTGTGCGTGCTGGGCTCAAAGGAAGGCTCCAGTATGAAAGTGACATTCTGGAAAGTAGATTTCCTCCTCTAAGTCAGTTCAGAATACAGAAGCCTCTGACTAACACCAATCTTTTGAAAAGCCCTCATTTTAGAACTCTTGGATACCCACTTCTGCCAATCTCCACCCCCAGCCTACACTATGTTCAACCCAAATCAGGAGATTCTTATTTGACGACATTCTAGTAAATACCAGAGAACCACAACACACTACAGAGAAAATCTGGCAAGATATTCTTTCCCTGTTATTTTCTAGGTCCTGCCTATCACAGAGTTTATTCAACCAGCCAAGAAAGCTACTATCTGTATATCTTGGTAATCTACCAGAAAATGAGTTAGAGATCATTTTCGTTTTTCTTCCCCTGAAAAATAACTAAGAAAACAATAAGAAAGTTCATATGGATTACTTTCTAGAGATATTTATAGAATGCATCTTGAATCTGAACAGCTAAGTAAAATTTCCAGCTAGATTACAATAGGAAATACCAGTGGAGTTCTAATACAGGAAGCCTGTAACCAATGGGCTCTAAGGAAACCTCTGGACTCAGGGCGCAGACAATCCACACACCACAAAAGAAGCCAAACCTTTACCGGTCACAGACATGTCCTTGGAATGTGCTTGTCTTCTCCCTCCCCAAGCTTTCCCCAGCAGGCAAAATGAAGGCACTGCCCAAGATCCCCCAGCACTTCCCCTCCTGATGAAGAAACCATTGTAACGCTGGGATTTTCATCTCAGGGTCATTCAGAGGTGTAAGAGATCACATACGGAAAAGGTCATTTACGCCCCTACAAGGGAATCTCCTCGCCGCCTCCAGCAACCCCGAGAATAGTGTGTTCACTTCTGAGCAGTGTAGGTAGATCGTCGCGCAAAGTTTTTCTCGGAGACTTTTATTTATTGGACTGCAGCCCCTCTGCATTTCAACTCCTCGGCGACAGCTCGCAGGCCACGGGCCTCTGAGCTACCCTCACCCCGAGCAGACCAAAGGGCCTCCGGGACCCACAGGACTGTCCGCTCAGACGTCAAGCAAGCGCAGGGGACGGCTTCACGCTCCAACAGGTCGCCCTGCCCGCTGTCTGCAAGGGAGCGCCTGCAGTCCCGCAGGCCCGGGAGCCAGCGGCCGCCACCTCATCAAAGGCCGGCCCCGCGGCGCCGTCAGGGGCGCAGGCCACGCCCCCGCGCAGTCGGCGCGCT